CTCCCAGGACCCCCCCCACCCATGGGACCCCCCCAGACCCCCCGTACCTGCTGGGTCCGGGCCCCCAGGACTGCCCTGAGCCGCTGCAGCAGCCGCTGCCCCTTCCCCAGCTGGGTGAGGGTGGGGGGCACAGCCCCCTCCAGGGCCCCCAGGGCCCCCCCGTACCCCAACTTCAGCTCCTGCCACCGGCCCCGGGCCTGGGCTGCAGCCTCACCTGGGGGGGCACCAGTCAGACCCCCGGAATGGGGACCCCAAACACCCCCAAAGGAACCCAAGGACCCCCAACCCCCCAAAAGAGGGGGACCCCAAACACCACCCCTTGAAATGTGGAGTACCCCAAATAGCCCCAAATGGGAACCCCAAACACCCCCAAAGGGAACCTGGGAACCCCCAAATGGGACCTGGGTGTCCAGGAAACCCCAAACCCTGTCCCAGACTCCCCCATTTTGGCTCTCTCAGCCCCCTAAAAGAGATCAGGAGGACCCAGGGAAGACCCAGGGATTTTTGGGACTCAGGGGGGACCCAGAGCTTTGGGAATGGTCGGGGGATTTGGGGGGCTCACACACGCCATGGGCTCAGTTTGGGGGGTCAGGGAGGTTTGCGGGGCTCACACAGGCCCTGGGCTCGGTTTGGGGGTTCATGGGGGGGTCAGGGGGCTCCCACAGACCCTGGGTTCAGTTTGGGGGGGTCAGGGTTTTTGGGGGGCTCACGGAGGCCGGCGGGGGCCGGGGGCAGCCCCGGGTTCTCGATGACCCCCAGGAGCAGCCGCAGCACCCGGAGCTGGGACAGGAGCAGCTTCTGCTTCCGCCGGGTGTCCTGGGGAGGATTGGGGGGTCAGGGGGAGGTTTGGGAGGCCAGGGGGTCACAGGGGGCACTTTTTTGGGTCAGGGGGAAGTTTTGGGGGGTCAAGGATGGGGAAATGAAGGTTAAAAACAGAAGGTGAAAGGGAGATTTGGAGAGATAATTGAGAGGGTTTGAGGAAAATATGGGGGCCAGAGAGAGGGGTAGAAAATGGGGGGGGTCAGGGAAGGTTTGAAGGATAAATGTGGAGGGGGCCAGGGAGGGATTTGGGGGATAAATTTGGGGGTGGGGGGGATCTGGGCCTAAATGGGGGGGGGGAAAGGCTGTGACAATTTGGGGGGGGCATCAAGGGTATGTGAGAATTTGGGGGGGCATCAAGGGGAGGTTTGGGAGGCAAACAGGGAGGCCAAAAACAGCCGAGGGGGGAATGTGAGTGCTGAGAGGGGTATGGAGGGGGGAGGGGGGGGGGGTTGTCTCACCACTTGATGTTCCACCAGGACCGGGGCCAGGACATCACCCTCCTCCTCCTCCAAAGCCAGGGCGGCCTCGAGGGCCGTCAGCACCCTGGGGACACCGGGGACACACACCAAGGGACCCCTTAAAGACCCCCGTGAGGATCGGGGGGGCATCCCAGGGACCCCAGTGGGACCTGGTGACTCCTCAGGGACCCCAATGGGGATCGAGGGGGGACATACCAGGGACCCCGCCGGGACCCCTTCAGGTCCCGTGAGGACCCAATGACCCCTCAGGGACCCTCGTGGGGACGGGGAGGGACCCCCCAGGGACGCCAGTGGGCCCCGCAGACGCCTCAGGGATCCCCGGGAGGCCCCGGTAACCCCTCGAGGCCCCCCAGTTGCCCCCGTTCCAAGATGGCGGCGGGGTCCCCTCAGGGGTTCCCGCCATGGGGGGGGGGGGGGGTCTCGCCCTCCCCCCCCCCCGCGCCCCACTCGCGCCGCCATCGCCGCCGCGCCTTCCCGCGCCCCCGCCTCGCCCGCCCACCCGGCAAAAGCGACCAATCAGCGCCCGCGGCCTGCCCCCTCTGACCAATCACAGCCCGCCGCCTCCCTCAACGACCAATGACCGTCCGGGTAAGTCGCACCGTGGCCCCGCCCCACAAAGTGACGGCCAATCGCCGTACGTGGCGAGGAGGCCCCGCCCCTCCGTTGCCGTGGAGACGAGACATTAGTCGCCGCCATCTTGGGAGTGGCAGGCTGGGGGCACTGGGTTGTACTGAGAGGCAGTGGGACTCTGTGCGGTCCAATGGTCTTTATAGGGTCCCGGGGGTCTCTATGGGGTCCCTCCCCCCAATAACCACACGACTTCTCTTCCCATCCCCCCCTTTGGGGGAGGGGCCTTTATTCCCCCCCAATTTGGGGAGCAGGGTGGGGGAGGGGTGTCCCCCAATTTGGGGGGGGGTACACACATGACACCCCTCCCCCCGCTCATCGCCGCCGCCGCCGCTGCACGAGGGTCCAGCCGTCGGGGGGGGGCGGGGGTGTCCCGCACTCCATCGCCTGGGGGCAATGACGTCATCAGTGGGATCCCGATGACATAATCAGTGAGACACCCACACCGGTGACGTCATCACTGCTCCCCCGGGGTTAAACCAGTTCCCTGCTTTAACCAGCCCCTCCCAGTATATCCCAGTCTCCTCCCAGTCCCCTGCCTCCCCCCAGCTCCCTCCCAGT